CCTTTCCTTTCATTATACCTCTGATTACTATTCCCCTGAGTATTTACAAGAATAAAAAGAAACCAGTCACAGCAGAAATAACAAGCGTACTTCCATGTAAGTTCACTAGAAAAATTGATATTTGCTTAAAAAAACATGCAGTATTTATTGAGCGAATGTCTTGTATGTGGGGTTGGACTTGAGTCTGAAACACATTTTTTTCAACAGAATGCAATTTTAGCGAGTTCCTCACCCTTCCTGTGGAGTGTGCAGTCACCCAGTTCAATCCCACCCCATCATGCTCAGTAAATCACCCCAAAAGAATTATATATATATATTTTTTTTTTTTTTTTTTTTTTTTTTTTCCCCCACATGTTTTTTGTTAAAAATAATTATAAAGGGTATCATGGAAGTAAAGAAAAAAGAAAAAAAAAGTAATAAATACATAAACTTAGCTAAGCTCCCCTGCCTAAGTTGTGCCTTGCACTCCATGGGTTTATCAGATTAGTGTTTGGCGACCGGTGACATGCACCCACGTTCCTGCAGAATGGAGATAAAGTTTATTGTTAACTCTCGTGTTGTTAATATGATTATTATTATTATTATATTGATTTAATTTTTTCTATTGTTATTATACTATTATCATTGTTATTATTATTATTATGCTATTATCATTGTTATTACCATTATTATTATTATTATTATTATTATAATTATTGTTATTGATATTATTATTATCAGTGTTATTATTAATATTATTATTTTTGTTATTATTATTATTATTGTTATTATTATTATTATTATTATTATTGCTGTTGCTATCATTATTGTTATTACTTTATTACTACAACTGATGTTGATATTTTACTATTATTACAGCAACTCATCATCTGTGTTATTTTATTAGTTCAGTGTTTGCTTCTTTTTTAACCATTTTATTTTTTAATCACTAATATTATTAACTAATTTTGATAATTTTTTGTGGTAGTGGTAGTAGTTTTCAGAGTAGTGGTAGTATTATTTATATTAAATTATTGGTTTCATTCATAATTTTCTTGTGATTTCTGTAATTACATTTTTTTATCATTATTTTTTATATTTGTTATCAGTGTTATTATTTGATTCACTTTGATTTGATATAAAATGTCTTAATAATTACTCTTCGTTTTCTGTTGTTGCTCTTCAAATTTTGTTATTACCACTTTTTATGTTTTATTATTATTATTATTATTGTTATTATGAAAGTTGTTATTAGTTTTTATTATATTTATCATTATTGTTGAAATCATTATTATTATTGTTGTCATTATCTTTATTATTATTATTGTTAATATTATTATTATTATTGTTAATATTATTATTATTGTTGATATTATTATTATTATTGTTAATATTATTATTATTATTAACATTGTGAAAAGATTATTGTTAATATTATTATTATTGTTATTACCATTATTATTATTATTATTTCATTTTTATTTATTGTTATTATTATTATTGTTGTTGTTGTTGTTAGTTTTATTATTATTGATATTATTATTATTATTATTATTATTATTATTATTTATCAATATCGTTATTATTAGGAATATTATTACTGTTATTGATATTACAACAGTTATTATAAATACTATGAATTTTTATTATTATATTGTCAGTAATATTTTATTATTATTATTATTATCATTATTATTATTATATTGTTGTACATGTTCTTGTCCATGTTTTTAATTTTAGTCATCACTAGACTTAGTACCATTCAAATTATTATCATTTATTGTTATCATTATAGCAGTCATGTACTATAAATATTTATATTTTAGCATTATCATTTATTGCTGTTGTCTAAGACATAAAAGAATTTAGATCTTTAGAAATAGATATCTGAGAAAATAAACTATTTTACACATGCTGAAAGTGAATAAGAGTATAGATTTATGTGTAAAATATAAGGTGTTCATTACCTGTTATAATAGTTTTGTGGGTAGGTAATACATGGAAAATAGTAGAAATTTTGATGTACCTTTGAAAATTCTCTAGTTTATGTCCAGATTCATGTGGTTTGATATTTACTGGTAGCTAAAACTTTTTTCTTCTTCTTCTTCTTTCTTTTTTTCTTTTTTTCTTTTCTTTTCTTTTCTTTTCTTTCCTTTTTTCCGTTTCTTTTTTTCTTTTCTTTTCTTTTCTTTTTTTCTTTTTTCTTTTCTTTTATCTTCTTTTCTTCTTTTTTTTCTTTTGGTAAACGAGTTCATTGTGTCCAAAGAAAGAAATTATTGTAAAGAACAAAAACAAAAAAATAATCATTGCAATCTGCCAGTTATCAAACTGCCATACCCAACCTGTCATCCACTACCTGCCAAGTGCATATGAAAATGAGTATTGCATTGCATTTGTGAGAAAGAATGAATGTTATTGTGATTGTGATGAGGATAGTAATTCCAGAGGCTCTCTTTTGTTACTGTGTTTCATTATAGGAAGTAAGTAACATCACGAGTTTAAAATGATGTGTAGGATATTG